TTCTAATTATTGAATGTAATTTTTAAATATTACACAAAAAATCGATAAAAATTATTCGAGTAGGAAAGGAGTTCATGAATTATTTAATTTTCTATATTATTATAAAAGCACGAAGCAACGATGCGAAAAAAATAAATATTTTAAATGGTAAGAAAAAATAATTAAATCTTTGAATTAAGTAATTAGCAAAAACATAAATTCAATTCTTTTATAAAATTATCGTGTAAGTAAAATTATTTTTCAAGTTGAAAAATCTTTTAAGGCACATAAATTAATTTTCACAATAAAAGTATAGGTTTAGTGAAAGAAATAAGAAAATAGAGCAAAATCGGTTATAGTAAAAGTCAAATACTAAATATGCAAACTTGAAACAATAAGAATGTAACAACATAAGACAAAATATATTAAAAATGTCATTATTATTTTCTATCTTTTTTTAATCATTCCAACAAATGACAAATCCCTATATTTAGGTTATTTTTTATAAAGTATTAACTCTAACATTAAAGTATTTTTGTAAGATTTTGTATTATTATTTATTTATCGAGCAAACTAGCTAAATGAGAGCAATGGTTTTCATGTTTAAGAACTTATATTTTTTTCTTTAATATTTGTTCAATATAACTCACATTATTAAATAATTTTTGTGTAATTTTTAAAAATTATATATTAATTGATATAGTGTTCACCTAAGACTAGTTACATAAGAGCCAGGGTTTCGACCTGGCAGCTTCCAGGAATTCAATTCAATTCAATTATAAGGGCAGTATTGACATTTCGTATTATAGACTTACGTGTCATCCAAAGCAATCGCCGCCTCATTTATTTGACATTCATTGTCTAGAATTTTATCGCCTGTTTCCTTCTCCTTTTGTGTCTATCAGTTCATCTCCGTTTTCAATATTCCACTTCTACACCTGCCTTCTACTTAGGGCTTCATGCTTCATATTCAGTTGATATCATCAGAGAAAACCACTCCTCTATCAATACCTCATTTTGGTGTTTTTAATATTTTTCTTTTGTTAATTTGTACAGTAATCGTTCCACGAAATTCCTCAATGAAAGTAACTATACAAGTATTTCGCAAAAGAGTTGGGCTTCAAAGAATTATCAAAGCTAAGTTAAAGAGGTTGGTTACGGCCTCAGTTATTGTGACCATGTGCTTATGTCTCAATGGTGTATGATAGTGTTTACAAAGGGATTGTACTAGCCAGCTTGATGAATTGGCCACCAAGACTTATGCTGCCATGATTACTGCGCACCCTGACTATGCATGTGTAAGTCTCAATTTGTTGTGCCATTTTTGTTGATGTGACTTTCAGGAATTATTTTTATTGTGCTATTTTTTTAGATGCTTCATTTTAGGTTCTGGGTTAATTTTCAAGGATTGAAAAATTGAGTATTTGATCAATTTGCTACGTGATATAAATGAATTTTTCTTTTCTATTTCTTGAAGCTATATTACATCAGTTTCAGTTAGTACCTTTTTGGCTTTAGGTTTAAAGCTTTCTTGAAATGTGTGGGTTTGTATGCACAATGTTTGAATATCGATCTAGATTAAAATTTACGCCAATTAAGTTATAAGCCTCTAAGAAGAGAATAAAGATATAAGACAAACAGGGTAAAAGTAATGGAGTGGTGAGGCAAAATATTCATTTACCTTCAAGAATCGAGATAGGTTGAGCTTATTTTGGAAATCCTAGGTTTTGAATTTTGTGGAGAAACTCTCTCAAACTTGGGGTAAGTTTCTTACTCTATCTATATGTGAATTAGTATATCTTTTGTATGGTGACTTTTAGTCATTTAAAATCAGAAATTTAATCCCGTGAATTGGACAGCAGTTACTATTTTGGGAATAACTTTTTTTCTAAAAATCGGGTTGGGGTAATTCAAAAGGCTATAAAAAGATAAGAGATATATCTACAATTGTTATAAAGACCAAGATGTCCAGTTCTGTGGTTTACTGCCTCAAAAAATATACTGCAATACAGCGCAGAGCTGTTGCCCAGATTTTCTCCTTAAGAATTGTGAATTGTGGAGACCATTTAAACCCCAATTTTGTTTATATAGTGATGAGTCTTGCTCAATTACTCTGAGAGGACAATAAAAATAAAGTTGTTTAAGAGGAAATATAGTGATCCGTGTGTGCTGAAAAATTATGATGAAGTTTTGAAATCACTAAGCACTTTAAATGTTGGTACTGCTACACGACTGCTAGGTAAATATGTGCCATTGTGTTCGAAGCTGAATATTTTTTTAAAAAAATATATGCAAGATTGCTCTCGAAAGTGACTGTATAAAGACAATTAATCAAATAAAATCACATTTTCTTTTGTGGTAAAGATGAAACCATGTTCGTTAAGCTAAAAGGTGTGTATAAGAATCTTCTCCATTGTCCTTTTACTCTTTTGATGAAAGTGTCTTATTATTTTCTGTTATCTTAATCTGTCTCTAAAGTTACCTTATATTCATAACAGATACTTCAAATGGCCAGGCTCAGTACGTTTAAAATTTGACTAATCTGAAGGTAATATCATGTAAGTTTATTTTTCTTCATTTGGGTTTCAAATTCACTTTCTTTTAGTTTTTTTGCAATAAACTTTCTATATTGGGTTGATGTGAAGATTTGTGTATGACTGGTAATTTTTAATTTTGAGGATAAGTAGAGTCACTTCTCGATGAGTATCAGTTCAAGATCTCATTATATATCACTAAACTGATGAATGCCTTTCTTGTGAAAAGTATTACTATAATAAGATGAGACACTAAAGGTAACTATATTTTTGTGCTATAACACTAAGCTAACAGATATATTCATGTGAAACAAGTTTGGAAGATGTACAGGTTTCAAAAACCAGATAGGAATTGATTACTCACACTAATTGACCAAAACAAAGAATAGTTGTATAAAACCTTCGCTAATAATTCTGCTGATTTAAAAAAAAATTGTTAACTCTATGAATCATGTTGAATTAAATAAATCCTATTCCATCCTATTTATTATTATTGACCCTTAGTAAGTGTCAAAGTCAACTATCTCGTCTCTACCGCTTCGAGATTAGGCTTGATACTTACTGGGTATACGTTGTTTACGTACTCATACTACACATGCTGCACTTTTTGTGCAGGATCTGAGACATGTACTTGTGGAGGACCTATTATTCACATCCTCGTTATCGAGAGGCGTAGTGGTGAGCTGCCTTTCTGAGCCGTCCTCCAGTTACCAATGCCTCTCTTTGTATTTTACATTTCTGTCTATTTCATTTTAGATAATATTTGGAGTTTTGTATAATCTACTAGATGCTCATACACTTGTGACACCAGGTCTTGGCACACACATTGGTAGAATTTGGTATTTTATTTTATTCTTGGATTAAAAGTTTAATCAATATATGTTTAATTTATTAGTTGACTTGTCTAGTTGTAGTGTTGGGCGCCATCACGACCTATAGGTGAAATTGGGTTGTGACATAGGCAGCTCTTCATATTGCCAAAAACCCATTTTTTTACGAGCGCACCAAACATATTGAGATTGACTGTCATTATGTACGCACTTGCTTGCAGACTGGTCTGATTTCTTTGCATTTTATCTCCATCTCCAACCAGTTGGTAGACATCATGACCAAAGTTCTTCCTGGTCAAGTTCATCATGGTTTACTTTGCAAGCTTGGTGTGTTCTCACCCTTAAGCTTGAGAGGGGTGTCCGCCCAGATACATCTCAGGCCTAATTGTCACAGGCCCAATCGGATAAGGGAAAGAAGAAGGCCGTTTTTATGACTCTTATAGTTTAGACATGTAACTATTTTTTCACAATTATTTTTCCCTTTTTGATACCTGTAAATATAAATAGTTTTTACTAAATAAGAAAATCAGTTTTGGTCAATTAGACTTTGACCGACTCACTCGTCTCACTCTTCTTCTCTCAACCCTTCTAGGGTTTTCTTCCGTCGTTTCCGCTATAGGTAACAAGCTTCTAGCCTAACAACACCATCATACACCATTGAGACATATGCACATAGTCACAATAACTGAGGCCGTAACCAACCTCTTTAGCTTAGCTTTGATAATTTTTTGAAGCCCAACTCTTTTTGCAAAATACTTGTTTAGTTACTTCCATTGAGGAATTTCATGGAACGACTCTCGAGGCAAATAAAAGCAAAGACATATTGACGCTCCGAAACTACTGGACATGCGAGTTGCAACATACGTGGTAAATGAGAACATACATTTGCATTGGATAATTCCTAATGGTTAGAATTACCATAAACTGTCAATATGATATTTTCTTGAAGAATGTGATGTAAGAGTTTCCTTTGGCCTGATATCATCATAGTAATTGAAAAGTTATTTATTGTGCTTTGATACTAGACACCTATGGCCCTAGGTCGATAGTTGAAAGGATATTGGTACGATTAAATACTTGTAGAATTAGTGATTGATCAAGATAGAATCTGTCAACTCTTGGTAATGAGTTTAAGCTCCATGTTGTCATAAATTATAACCGACCAAATTAAGACCTTGGCCAAGGCAATTGAATGAAAGAAGCAAAGAGTTTCTTAGGTCATTCAATGGTCGATTACGTTTTACACGAACACATAGTCGGTCGCCTATTAGGATTTGATAGTTGAACCATATCCTAGGGTGACCCAGAGCTATAAAGACAGAAGGAATTAATACATTATTCTTCTACTGATTCTTGAGAGTAAATTGTATACTTCATGCTAGACGCCACCCTTGATTAGTATACTGATGTGATCAATTTACTACCGGTTTAGTATTGAACCTATGAGGTCGCACACTAACGAGTGTTCTGATCTTTGCTAAAGGATTAATTACTTTATTATTTGATAATTAAATTAAAGAATTTAATTAGTCAAATAAATTTAGTTATTAGTCCAAATAAAATATTATTATATTCTTTGCTAGCACAGAGGATATAATTAATATTGTGAACAAGTTAAAATTTTCTATTTTAAATAAGAAAATTAAAATTACATCTCTTCGTTGATATATATGCACTTGGTAATTATAATTAATATTTATAGAATTCAATTAAGAATTTAATTCCATAAATGAGTTACATGTTTTTATTTTAAAGTATAACTAAGTTGTAGAATTCAATTTAGAATTGAATTCCATAAATGAGTTACATGTTTTTTAAATATTTATCATAAAGCATGTGATTTGTATTTTTCCAATGAAAATTATGTGTATATATNCAACACAATATTTTCATTCAATTTGTTCGCGGAATTTTATTGATCAAAGAGTTGATAGTAAGGATCAGTCTCGGTGTGGATACGCATAGAGTCTTCACACTATCGAAGAAATTTAAAATAAGACTCATTTCACCAGGTACGTCTTAGATCCGATTTTTGACATGCAAAATAATTTTTAAACACGAAAAATTCTACCTAGAATTATTATTGTCTTCCGCTGCGTGTTATGAACACCTCTACTCAATCCTATAATTTCGTGGAACGACTCTTGAGGCAAATAAAAGCAAAGACATATTGACGCTCCGAAACTACTGGATAGGCGAGCTGCAACATACGTGGTAAATCAGAACATACATTTGCAGAAGGGTATAGAATAATTGAGAAAAAATAGCAAATCCAAAGAAGACGCAAAAAGAAGTAGAAATAGAAATAGAACAGGAGGAAAGTAAAGCTCAAAATTGCACCCAATTTCAAAAAGAAAAACGTTGGCATAATAGTAAACAACATTTAAAAGGAGAAGATATAGGATCAAAATTCTGTACCTCTCAACTCAAATAGAATTTACCCAAAAAATGTACTCAAAATTATAACAACAGTTAGAGACTGAAGAGGAAAAAAGAAGCAATAGAAAGCTCACCAGAAACAAAGACATACCAAAATAAGATCAGAAACAAAATAAGAAAATTAAAAGAAATTCAGTTGATTTAGTCATTTAATCGAGCACCCTCAGCTCACCAGTATGCAAATTGGATAAAGTCACCGACATGCATGTGAAAATCTAACAAAAATGTAATGACCTAACCGGTCATTTTAACTTTTAGAACTCCGTTCCCTAAAATAAAACTTCCCGTAGGTGCTTGTAATGATTTATGACTTGCGAGGATGGTTGGTTCGGGATTTGGAAGTGTTTGGGATTAAACCGGAACACTTGGTTCCTTAAGTTGGCCTTAAAGTGCTAAGTTTGACTTCGGTCAACATTTTGACAAAACGACCCCGGAATAAAATTTTGATGATTCCAACAGCTCCGTATGGTGATTTTGCACTTAGGAGCGTGTTCGAAAATATATTTGGAAGTCCGTAGTTAAATTAGGCTTGAAATGGCTAAAAACAAGAATTTAAATTTGGAAGTTTGACCGATGAGTTGACTTTTTGATACAGGAGTCAGAATCCAGTTCCAAAAATTTCCATAGCTCCGTTATGTCATTTATGACTTGTGTGTAAAATTTGAGGTCAATCGGAGTTGATTTGATAGGTTCTGACGTCGAACCTAGAAATTGAAAACTCTTAGTTTCATTAAGCTTGAATTGGGGTATGATTCATGGTTTTAGCGTTGTTTGATGTGATTTAGAGGTTCGACTAAGTTCGTATGATGTTTTAGGACTTCTTGGTATATTTGATTGAGGTCCCGAGGGCCTCGGGTGAGTTTCGGATGGTTAACGGATCAAAGGTTGGACTTAAAAAGCTGCTGCAATTTTCCTTTCTGTTCTATATTCTGGGTTGTGATCGAACCCAGATATCGAGCCCACGATCGAGGCTTGAGTCAAAGCCAAGGACGAGGCTCAGTATCGAAGCCACGATCGAAGGTCCAGCTCGAGNCCCAGATCGAACCCAGATATCGAGCCCACGATCGAGGCTTGAGTCGAAGCCAAGGACGAGGCTCAGTATTGAAGCCACGATCGAAGGTCCAGCTCGAGGGCCATGATCGAAGGCAAGGCTCGAGGGCCAGGATCAAGACCCAAGATCGAACTTGATCGAGGCCATGACCATGTCCTAGGCACGAGGCCTAATCGAGGCCATGACCCAGTCCCAAGTTCGAGGACATGATCGAGGCCATGACCGAAGCCCAGGCTCGAGGGCCACAATCGAAGCCACGATCGAGGCAGAATTCCGAAGGCTGCCTAGGGAGTTTATAAAAGAGGACATTCGTCCCATTTGCCATTTTTGACAAACTTGAGCTTGAGCAGAGGCGACTTTTGGCAGATTTTCAAGGAAAAATATTGGAGTAAGTGATTCTAACTCGGATTTGGTCTACATATACAAGTATATCATTGTTTTCACCATAAATTAGTGTTTTGAGATTTGAATTTAAAAATCTTTTAGAAATCTCATAGAAACGCATTTTTGACATTTCGGTATCGATTCAGAGTCGATTTGAGTGAAACTGGTATGGTTGGACTCATAATTGAATGGGTTGTCGGATTTCGTAACTTTTTCCGGATTCCGAGACGTGGGCCCCACAGACGAATTTTTAATTAATTTCGGAATTTTTATTAAAAATATAGTATTTTCTTATATAATTGATTCTTATAATTTTTGGTGATTGTATCGAATTATTTTGGCTAGATTCGAGCCAGACAGAGTTGGATAATCGTGGAAAAGCCCTTATTGTTGATTAAATTGGAGCAAGACGAGGTAAGTCTCTTGTCTAATCTTGTGAGGGAGAAATTAAATCATAGGTGATTAAAATTAAATAATTATTGCTAATTGTGGGGGCTACGTATGCACGAGGTGACGAGAGTCCGTGCGTAGCTACTATTAATGCTAAAGTCCGGGTAGTTTAGGACTCAAAGCATGCATTACTTGTATAAATAGTATTCTTTAATTAATTAATATTAATTGATATATATGAATATATTGTGAATTATTAGGTAAAGATATTAAATGATGGAAATCTCATAGGCTTGATTTTCTGTTTAAATCAATTAATTGTTAAAAGAAATTGTTCTCCTCCCGAATTAATCTTATAATAAATATACTCTCCTTACGGAGGCACATAAGAAAATTTCCTCCTTTCTTGTGGAGCGGGCCGAACGCCTTGGCAGGATAGATGCATTTATGGATCGCGCCGCACGTCCCTCGGCAGTGTACACAACATTCTGGATCGGGTCGTACGTCCTCAGCTGAAATCGTGCTTAATAATAATAATTATTATACGATATTTTAATAATTTATTTCAGCTTGTGAAGCTAATTAATAAATTAGAAAATCCTTGAAATTTAATG